CTTCTGTTCGCTTCAAGATGCATTGCTTTTAGTTATTGGCCAAGTATATCTCTCTCAAAAAAAAAAAAAAAAAAGAACGCATCTAATGCAAATGACTTAAATCATTTAGAACTTGAAGTGGTGGTTAAAAGGATGTGTTAAAGAAGGGATGCAAAAAAAATTTTTGTGGTTTTGAAGAAAAAACTGATAAAAGGGAAAGGGCTTGAAATGCTGTTCAATGGAAAGGGAACTACTTATGATTATGGCAGTAAGATTACATAATAGATATCAATTGCAGAAGTCATTTGGTGGTCCCGTTTTCCGCATTTTTCCTTTGGATTTTTTTCTGAGCTGCCAAAGGAAACTTCATTAATTTCTTAGGAAAAAAATTAAAAGAAAAATCATTTTTTTCATTAAAGGGGCCTGCCACCAGCAGCTGGTAAAACTGTCATAAGGTCGGTAAGCCGTTAAATGACTAAAAGGACGAAATGAATTTATCTGCGAATAGCTAATGAATTGTAATTGAATTGGTATTGTTTCTGGCTTTTCCGAAAAAAATTACTCAAGGATGAGGAAAATAAAAATGATTGATCGGAAAACCCAGGGGGGCTTCATGTGGTTTTGGTTTAGAAGAGCATACAAATATTTGTAGAGGATATTTGAAGCCATAGCAAATCCTTTCTGCAAAATTATATAAACGAGAGGCGGAAGGATAAATTCCACAGTCCCTATATAAACACTGCCTGACATTTAGGTCTTTAAAGCTCTCTGGGCCTTATTTCGTTTCCACAGAGTTCTTTAGGTTTAGATTGTGTATATGGAGTCCTAGAGCTTCGTATAGTCATATAGACTCGCTCAAAATAAAAATCGTCTTTAAAAGGCGTCCACAATTTCGATTCCCTGAGCTAAAAAGATTACCTGAGACCCATTCACGTCCAAAGGCTCAGATTGTCTATAAAGACTACCTGACCATCAGCTGGTCTCTAAAGACTCTCTGATCATCAGCGGGTATCTCAAACACTTCCTGAGCATCGGCACGCCTCTAAAAAGTCCCTTGTCTTCAGTAGATGAGCTGAAGACTCCCTGAGCAAAATTTCTTTTTCACAGAGCTCCTTAAGTTTAGCTTGTCTATGAGGACTCCCTGAACTTTGGCTCATCAAAAATGACTTACAGAGCATTAAATCGTTTCCTAAGAAAGCCTGGACTCTCAAAAGACTGCCTGAGCTTCTGCAAGTCTATATAGACCTCAGTACAGATTCTCCAGACTTCAGCTTGTCTAAAAATACACCCTGAACTTCAGCTCATTTAAAAATGATTCCCTGCCTATAAAGACTCTCTGAGCTCCAGTTCATTCCAAAAGAATATCTGAGTTTCAGATCGACATATAGACTTTTAAAGGATAGTCACTAAAAACTGCCTGACCATCAGCTGGTCTCTAAAAAGCTGAAAATGGTCAGCACGCCTCTAAAGAATCTCCTTTCTTCAGCTCCAGTTCATTCCAAAAGAATCTCTGGGTTTCAGATCTTTCAAAGGCTCAGATAGTCTCGAAAGACTGCCAGAGCTTCTGCACGTCTATATAGACCTCTTGAGCGACTCCTAAGCTTCAGATTATCCCCAATAATTCTCTGAGCCTCAGTTCGTTCCTCAACAATCCGTCGGTTTCATATCTCGCCTGTAAAGACCCTCTGAACTTCATATCATCTCTACAGATTTCCTGAACCTCAATTAATTTTTACCTATAAAACTCCCTGAACTTCAGCTAGTCATAGAGACGCCATAACCTTAAGGTCGTCTTAAGAATCCGCTGCCACTTAAGGTCGTCTACAAAGGACGCATGAATTCCAGCACTTCTATGACGATTTCAGGCAGTCTTCGAACTTCATATATTCAATACATTTATATTTCAATACATTTTTTCTATATGTATAGAAAATTCTAAAAATAGTTTTTTGCCTAGACAGATGTCACCCACCACTTCCCCCTATTAACAAATTTTCAAATGTCTATTTTTCAAAATGTCAAATGTCAAAATTTATTACAACATTTCCAAATTTATCAATTTAAAAAAAATAACACAAACAAAGACAAAAAAATATTCTCTTCCAAAACAACCTCCAAAATTTTAACCATGATTTTTCAACACCCATTACAGCCTCCAAATTCCTTATTTTCTTCCTCTTTCTCTTCCATCCTCTATTCTCTCCATCGAATCGTGTTTCTTCCCTTCACAGCATCTTATTAATATATTTATCCACATAGGACCACACAATTTTCGATACACAAAACAGCGACCAGGCACCAAGCCAAACGTATCCCGAAGATTCAGCATCCATTAGTGGGGAGTAAGCAGCGCTAGCGTTTTCGGACATGTTTCTTGGTTGTTTGAAATTTCAGGAAAAATTCTTATTGTTGTTTGAAAATATATTCAGCAAGGCTTCACACGTCTGTTCGTTCAGAGAATATTTTTTAAATGTTCGGAAAAATATTTTTTATTTGACAAAACGACAATTTCAAAATCAAGGCCTACTGAGAGGAAAACTAAGTTTTTTGATATAAAATATTTTTGAAAACAGTGTTTTCAAATCAAAGTGGTTTTTTAAAGGAGTTGGGGGAAAATAAAGAGTTATTTTGAAAAACTATCGGCAAAGACCTTAGGAAAATTTAACTTTTTTTTGAAAAAAGGAAAAAGCTTTCAAAATTTCCCCAATTAACCAAAGACTTTGCAAAATGTCTTCTAGTTTGGAGAGACTTCTGCACTGAAGACCTCCCGAAATGTCATCTATGTGCGGAATATATTGAATACTGCAAACAAAATCTTCGGTGGAAAAACGAAAGGGGCTCGTATGGTTAGAAGAATGTCAACTCCCCTAACACTCGTCTTCTATGGGTAAAAAAATTTCTACGTTCGGTCAATAGACACCTATATAGACAAAATATATTTGAAGACAGTTTATAAAGACTTTCAATTTGTAACCGGATGACCCTTCAACGCATCTTCCATTCGCAGAAGATATTTGATCATGTTAACATTTTCCAAGAGGGTTTCAAAGGTTATAAAATATAAATTGTTCCTATAATCGGAAATCATGCTTATCGCCTTCTATCTTCAGAAGACACTTACTGCAAAACGCCCATTGGTCTTCTGCAAATAGAAGTCAGTTCGAAAGATCTTATCTAAATAGGAGAACTCGAAACAAATATATTTCAAACCCTAAACCTTTTCAGGCAACTTATATCGCTTGAGAGCAAAAATTCGGCCATTGGTCCAGCCAGATAGCAATTCTTCCAAACGATCATTAAAAATTTGCATTAAATGAGGATCTTTTATGGTTCGATTACCGTTCAGGGCCTATAAATTTTTGGACAGAACCTCTCCAGTTTTTATACCCTCCATATTATAATATATTAAATTTATCATTTCCGACCCTATATCAGCGTAAAATTCTATGACGATTTAAAAGTTTCCGTCTGTCTGTTGTAAACTCTCCAACTTTTTGTCTGCAGGTAGTTCAAGTTCGAATATGGGCAATATGGGACCACGTTTTGGCATAGCCCCCATATAAGGGTAACTCCTCATTTTCGGTGTTTTGGGGTTCTTGAGCGCGTTTTTCAATCGAGTACAATGAAAGTTGGTCCTTTATCGGATAGCTCAATTATAGGGTTCCCCCAATTTTCGGTATTTTAGGCTTCTTGAGCGCGTTTTCTATCAAATTCGCTGTAATGTAACACTTTGGGCTAAAAATTATAAATGTCAATTATTTTGATAGAGGAATCTTGATTCCAGGAGAACTTCCATAGAGGATAGGAATATCCCCATTTTCTAAATAAGGAACATAGGTAAATATATTTTCTATTAACAAGGACCTTTCAAGAGATCTTCAATAGATAGAGGATACCAATTTCAAAAAGTATTTCATATCAAAAGGACCTTTCAAGAATCGTCCATGGGGGCGATACCTAGATAAGATAACTACCATTTAAAAAAGAGAATTCCGGAGAAAAAGCGAACATCGAAGGGAAAATATATATTTTTTAAAGAGGTTCCATAAGGAAAAGTTTCAAAGGATTTCACAGAGTAAACATATCTTCTATTAACGAAGATCTTTCAAGAGATCTTCAATAGATAGTGGGAACTACGTTCAAAAAGTCCTTCATAGAAAAAATACATTTTATGGATCGTCCGCAGAGAGGATACCTTTCAAGATATCTACCATCGATGAAAAAAATACAATTCCAAAGGTATTTCACATGGGAATGACAGTATAAGGGATCAGCCATAGAGAAAGGAGTCCTGGAAGTGAACAATATTTTTTGTTTCAAGAGGTTCCATAGATAAAAGGCCTTCCAAAGGCTTTCACAGTTGAGAAACCCTGGGAAGAACCCAGATTTTCATTAATGGTCAGAAGAGGTTCTTTCGCTTAGAGATTAAAGGAATTTCTTTGAGGCTCTAGATTTTACAACACAAAACAATAATTGTTTACCGAATAAATGTTTATTTCGTTCAATATTTAAGGAGTAATTTATTCCTACTTTTTTCAGACCATCGATTTTTCATTGTTAGCATTTTAGCCATTACCATTTATGATGAAGCAACAGCAGCAGGGCGGCTTACTTAACATTTGGAATCAGAATTTTTGCGCTAAATATATTTGTATTTTGTAGTGGTGCTGGAGAAGCTGTTTCTTTCACATACTCTAAAACTAGTTAGGTTATATATTTATGTATATATTAAAGCACATATGTATGTGTGTATATAAAACTAAAAATGGAAGATGGCTGAACAAAATAAGACTTAAAGTAGAGACAGACGCAGTCTATAATGGCATATGAAGGCGGCATTTATGATTGGAAATTTTCTTCTCTATGTGGGAATGAGAGAGACAGAGATAGAGAGAGTGAAAGCGAGGCGATAATTTCCCAAGATATTTGGTGCAAAAATATGAAATTAATGATATGGAGACATGCATTACAAAATAAGGCTTATGAAAATAATAATTATAATACTAAATAATATTTGTTTTTTAAAGGAAATAATTTAAAGCATCTCTACTAACCTTAATGCTATCATAGCAGGCGGTCACCTTGCCATTTTGCACTTCAACATTTGCAGGCGGATGGGCAAATTTACATTCGGTATCTTGGCGGGAACATTTATTCCTTTGAAATTCACGACATACTTCTAGCTGGAGCCAACGTGAATCTTTGCCATTTAATAGGCTGGTCATATTAACCATAGCGGCCATGTTTGTTTGTTGTTGTTGGGGGGGAGTTTTTTGTGGGTTACTGCTTTTTTGTTGTTGTTGGGTTTTTTTTTACTTATTGCTAGCTTTGCTGGCGTATTATTTTAGCTGCTAGCTGTTTTATTGTTTTTCTTTTGTTGTTGATGGATTTTTTGTTGTTGGTTTCTGTTTAGCAATAAAACACCACAGGACAGTCTAGTTTTTGTTTTTTTTAGTTTTACATTAAAGAAAAGCTGCCGTATAGTAGTTGTTGTAGGATAATGGTGATGATAATGATGTGGGGATACTGGCCAAAAAAACTCTGGGCGGGAAGGAGAAGATTTTGATGATGAGTTGACTGGGGATCAGATAGTCGTAGATTTTAGAGGGATACGAAATCAAAAAGGAGTTGCGGGACTAAATAGAAATAGTTGCTGGATTTCGATGCGATTCCTTTCTAATTGATGATGGGCAGGATTTGCTGCTGCTCCGGGAGTTTGTAGTTGGGTTTTTTTATTAATCCAGACTTTGTAACATTCTCCTTTCTTCGTTTGCGTTTCTTGGCTAGAACTGTTTTGTTTTCTTTCGTTTTCCTTTTTCTTTAGCTGACTTTTTTTATATTTGTAATTTTTTCTTTTGTTATTTATTTCTTGTTGTCAACTTTTTGTTAGGGTTGCCAAATTTCTTTTATTTTTCTTCTTTGAGTTTCTTTTTAATTTTTGTAAAATTTTCTTTTATTTAAAAAAAATCACTCACAAAATTACTTGATTTGAGTTTTTTTATTTTTCTGGATTTTTTAGCTTTAAAAAAATAAAAAAAAATATATATTAAATAACGTTTAATTTTTTATATAAAAAAATATTTTGTATTATTATTTTTATATAAAAAATGTTTTTATATATAAACATTAGTTTGTATTAATATTTTTATATGAAATTATTTTTATATAAAAATATATTTTTATATAAAAATTACTTTTATATAAAAAAAATATTTTTATATAAATTATGTACATATAAAAATATGTTTTTATATAAAAACCATTTTTATGTACAAATATATTTATATAAAAAATATATTTTTATATAAAAAATAATTTTATATTAAAAATTATTTTTATATAAAAAATAATTTTGTATAAAAAATATTTTTATGTAAAAAAAAAATTAATATAAAATATATTTTATATAAAAAAATTTGTTATATAAAAACAATTATTTCTATATAAAAATTATTTTTATTTAATTTTTTTCTACATAAAAATTTATTTTTATAAAAATTAATATTTTTATATAAAAAAAATATTTTTAAGTAAAAAATATTTTTATATAAAACAAAATATTTTTATGTAAAAAATATTTTTATATATAACAAAATATTTTTATGTAAAAAATATTTTTACATTAAAAATTGGTTTTATATAAAAAACTACTTTTATATAAAAATTATTTTTATATACAAAAATATATTTTATCTAAAAAATTATTTTTATATAAAAAAATGCATCTTATATATAAATATATATTTGTATATAAAACATATATTTTTATATAAAAAAATTACTTTTTATATAAAAAATATATTTTTATATAAAAATTATTATTACATAAAAATTTAATTTTAATAATAAAAAATATTTTATATTAAAAATTATTTTTATATAAAAAATTACTATTTATATAAAAATATATATTTTTATAAAAATTCTTTTTATATAAAAAATATATATTATATACAAAAATATATTTGTATATAAAAAATATATTTTTATATAAAAAATATATTTTATATAAAAAATTATTTTTATATAAAAAATATATTTTTATATAAAAAATTACTTTTATATACAAATTTTATTTTTATATAAAAAATTGTTTCTATAGCCGGTTTTTATTGTTGTTTTAATTTATTTTTTGATTTGAAATTAATTTCATTTATTTTTTGTATATTTTTTATTTAACCGTATTCGTAATTTTTTGCTATATACGTGTTTATATATTAATTTGGCTAGGCACTTATATAAAAATATTTTTTTATTTTATTATAATTTTTGTTTAATATCCAGCAAAATGTAACTGAGGTGTCCAAACTCAAAAACAAATTGACAGCCAAGAATAATATTACTGTGGTGAATGGTTGGGGTATTTTTCTGTTGGCGTTGCAGGGGTGGTGAACTTAAAAATGACACAATTTATTTTTTTATAATTTATTTGAAAATATATTTTTTTTAATTTATTTATTTTTTTAAAAAATAATATTTTTATAAATTAATTTTTTTAAATAAAATTATTTTTTTATAATTTTATTTAACTTTTATATTTTTATTTTTTATAAATTATTATATATATTTTTTATATAATTTATATTTTTTTATAAATTATTTTGTTTTTTTTATAATTTTTTTTTATATTTTTTATCAATTTATTTTTTATATAATTTATAATTTTTTATAAATAATTTTTATATATATTTTTTTATAAAATATATATATATATATATATATATTTTTAATTTTATTTTTTTATAAATTAATTCTGGGTGTCTTGGAGAACATAAAAAAGGATGTTTAATATTTTTTTGTAATGAAAATTTATTTTTATTATTGTTTGCTGGGTAGGATATTTGTTTTTTGGGTTATATATTTATAGCAAAATTTCAAGCGCAACAATCAAAATAACAGCAGCTTTATTCTGGTTTCTAGTTAAAATTCAGTTTACTGGCTTTCTAAGATGGCTATATAGAACTGGCCCGTTAATATTTTTAAGCTGCAGCAGCGTATATTTTTTGGATTTTATTTTCTAAGGCCTTGTTTTCTCTAAAAAAAATCCCAGATTTATTATTTATTACGGGATTTGGGGCGGCTTGCTTTTGTTTTTTCTAAAGAAGCTACAGGCGTATTATATGTATGTATATTTTTTTATTCATTATTTTCTTCATGTGTACATTATCTGTAAATAGACGGAGAAAAGAACAAAGAGAGAAAAATACAAAAAATCAAGTTAGCATTTATATAGTTGGTATATGTATATACTTAAATACCTAAAAAATATAATTAATTAAAATACTTAAAAATAAATTGAAATAAAAAAAATCTAAATGATTTAAAGCATATATAGATAGGTGTTCTTAGAAGCTATAATAAAGGAATGTGTTGTGTCCATAAATATATTTAAAGAGAAAGCATTCATTACATTAATATCCCAGCAAACATTTTTTTTTTGGGAATTTTCCCCACAAGCAATTATTCCCATATATAAAGCAGAGTTCACTATTGTTTTCTTAAAGCTATGGCAAGCACATTTATTATGGAATATCCTTAAGGATATAATATCCTAGGATATTTTTGTTTTTCAAACATACAATAAAGCTGGCACAGATTATAAAGCTAATGTTTGGATTTATCGTGATTTTAAATTCTATACGCACACATACAAGCAGTTTCAGTTGAGGCACCCAAAAGCTAAATGTAAACATTTTTCCACGATTTTTCATCAGAATATCAAAATGAATTATTTTTTTTATAAAGGAAATTATATATTAATTCTGAAAATTATAACAAGAAAAAAAAACAATAAAATTTAGTACAATAATATTTCGAAGATTTTTTAAGATTTTTTTAGAAGTCCTTTTAAAGGCAAAGAAGAAGTAATTGAACTAATACAAAAATATGAATCAATATATAGTTATTGTTTCTTTAGTGGGCCTACTATACTGACCAAGTGTGATTAGATCGCTAATGTCAGCGTTAGTGACTAGATCGCGAATGTCAAAAAAACCGTTGTGGGGGCTCTATCAAATGTGGATCACTGTTTATACCGTACCGTTATATGAAGGATACCCCGAAATCTGGCCAATAATCATATTTTTGGGAAGATTTTCGACACAATGCGAATTTAAAATACCAAATTACAGTCAATGCCTTTGAAAGACGAGCTAGAGGCTATCCTGTAATTTGAAATTATTTTTTGTCGTTTTCATTTTTCTATTTTGATTTTATATTTTTATCTTCATTTTTACGTCTTATATTGTTTCTTCTTATTTACTTACATTTTCGTTTGGGTTTGTTGTTCGTATCAACACTTGTTTCATATATTATATTTAGCTTTCATATCGAAATAATTTGGAAAATACATATGCGAATTTTGTAACGCCAATGCAAAGGTAAAAATGTCTCAAATAAAGAAACAATGGAATGCAAAAGTGAAAGAAACAGTATTCAAATAAACGATTACAAAAATAACTACCATCAAGTAAAGGGAGAGGCGGAGAACGCTACCAAAACAAAACACAGCCAAACAATGAATGGTGTTTATGGTGTTTTTTTTTCTTGGGAGAAATAAATTTGATTTCGGGAGAGAGAAAGAGAGAGACAGGAAAAAAGAGCGAAAACAGCGCAAAAATGTTTGAAGTACCTCCATGTGTTGTGTTGTTCCCAGTGACTTCAAATAACAATTTGTGTAAAAATATAAAATCAATGTTCGATAAGTGTATGTCAAAGAACTATTGGAAAAAAGTTGATATTTTTTAGTGGAATCGTACTCAGTACGGTTTGGAGTACGACCATATGTTGTGTTGTTCCCAGTGACTTCAAATAGCAATTTTATAAAAATATAAAATCAAATAGTGAAAATTTTCTTTTGGCGATTTCCTACATGGTGGATTATCACAATAAGAACTTAAGTCCTTGTATGGATATGAATTATAGTACCATTTCATAGCACTGGCAAGACCCAGGAACGTCTGTAGTGTTATGTGATGTCATGCTGAAAGGGATTGGAGAAGTTCCAAATACAAGGAAAGACGTATTATTTTACACCACGATAACGCTAGCACATTGACTCCACAACCACAGCCTTTTTGAGCGGATAAAAATTGATGGGTCATAGATCGTTTAGCTCTGAACGTGTCCATTAACGTACTCAGTACCACTTTAGGTACAACAATGTGTTGTGTCGTTTAGAGTGACTATAATCACTATAGTGAAGATTTTCGTGAGATTATTTTTTTACAACTTTCGATGTGGATTATCTTTTGATAAGTG